GTGTAGAAATACCTTGAGGTCTATCGCATACTCTCGTCGTCATCCCAGATAGTACAACAAATGATTTAGATACAAATGAATTTGTAGCACCCGTATCAAATAAAACACGACCATTTGTATTATGTATAGGAAACATACCGTCAACAGCTTGAGGTGCCTGAACATCATGTGGCATGGGATTGAACACCTTGTTATGATGCAACTATTACGGTGGCTGTCCCTGAGGTTGTGGTGGTGCTAGTAAAGCCGGATATGCCTGTCCCTGAATCCGTGAAATCTGTGGAACGGGTAAAGGTACTGGCGCCCTCTATCCCTGCTACACATGTTGTCCCTATCCTTGACCTGCTTTAGGACACTAATTGGAAGTGTGTCCAAGCTCTCCACAAGTATAACAACTACCCTTAAAGGTGCTAAACTGTCTCCTCTACAATTAAAGTTATAGAATTGATTTCCACAAGTTTCATTTAAAAATTCACTGGTAATCGTTCCATCTCAACACAACATACCTATAAGCAAAAATATTTGTTTGCTTTCATAAATACCAACCACTCAACTTTGATATTTTTATGTTATCGCATAATCCCATTCCAATCAAACCATTTATGGAAATCTTACAAATACACATATGAAACACAATTGAGTTGCCAAAACCACCAATTCACTTTATTAAGAATTTTTTTTTTTAAACCATAAACTTCCAAAAGAATAATTATAAAATATTCCTTAAAATGCCACTAGTGTATGTGATTAAATCAGTGTTACACTTCTAATAATACCTCCACTACTTCTAATAATTAAAATTACTCTTTAAAAGAGCATTCATCCTTGAACCCTCCATCTTGGACACTCCAGTAACTCCTCCATTATGATTTTCTTTGGGGTCCTTCTCCTTACTTGACTTAGCTTTGAGCACCACTGAAGTTGTGTTGGGTCCATAGTATGGTGCTCAATCTTGCACACCAGAAACCTTCCTTGAGTTATACTTCGAAGCAACACTTATTGGAACCAATTCCTTGGTCTTTAATTCTGTCTTCTTGGTTTGCCTTCGCAGAGGAATCGTCAGAGTAATCTTTTTCTTCTTTGGGTCATTCTTCGCTTTCATCGTGGATCACATCCTTTTCCTAGTGCCAAACATTCTGAAATTACAGAATAAACTTGACATCAGTACATTCTAAGTGAACCGTAAAGGAATACAACAAATCCTAAACTTAAGCTCTAAACAAGATAATACGCTACGCGAAAGTCTTAATATGAAATACCTTAGAGACACTGAACTTGGAGTGCTCTGATACCAACTGAGATACCCCTCGATTCTAGAGTCACGGGTGATTAAGTCCGCGCACAGACCCGAGGTATACCAAACAATTAATATTTAAATAAGCCGGATTACAAAATAGAATTAAGGAAATAAATAATAAAGGTTGAAAAAATTCTAAATATTAAATCCTCAAAAGTTATAAAACCAATATAATCCAAACTTTTCAAAACCTCCAATATCCGTACAACTCGGGAATCCATTTAGTCGACCCCTAAAACTCAATAGAAAGTAAAGAACGAAATATTAAATCCAAAGCTAAAACATGAAAGGAAATCCTACGTAGTCGAAGGAGTGAGTGACTGTATCTGCTCAGCACGATCTAACTCTAAGCCTGGAACTGACGAACACCTGAAAAAATTAAAAGTAGGTCAGGCCCACGAGCAAGTTCTACTCTACTACAATCTATACAAAGACCCGATACATAGATACATCCTAGATAACTCAGCAATAACTAAAGTAGTCCATATATGTATAAATACACACTATAGGACGCTCACTAACCTATAGGTCTGTCTCAGCCTGAGTAGAAGGTAACATGTAAATCGCATATAACGTTGTCATATATACCTGGACCTACCAGGGAACATCAACTATGTCCAATTATCTATCCTAGGCGATATGCGCACCTTAACCATGATCTTAAGACTCAAACTCATATCACAGTACCATAAGTATATATATAAAAACCGTTCAAACTAAGGTATGTTATTCAACTGTTTATTGACCCGACATACATATAAGTAAGACTTAACTTTTATAGTTAATCCATTTCTTATTTCAGAATAGGTAGGACTTAGTGTTTTGAACTAATCTGTCCCTAGTATGCCACTATCCCATACCGGTGCATACAATCCACAAAATCCATATAATTGACAAGACAGGAATAAACAGTTCATCAATCATACTTCAAAATAAGCATAAATAAAGTCTAATATGTATATGACCATATTATGTATCCAATACAAGATTTAAAAATCATGTTCCCGCCATTTAAATTACTAAAATAAGACTAAGCATTTAAATCCTTTATATCCGTTAACAGCATGCAAAATTGTTTAAACTTTCATACTGTTCAATCCATTAGCATATATATATAAATTATGCAATATAGGGTTTTAATATAACATGAAACAATATTTAGAATTCTCAATTTAACCTAAAACAGTTTGGGAACCCCAAAACATCCAAACAGTGCTCAAACCAACTTCCAGTATGCATTGAAGCAAGAGAGCTTGCTCTCAAAAGTGGAGAGCAAGCTCTATTACAAAGGGAGCCAGCTCCCCTACCCATGGAGCCGACTCTGTGCCTTAGGGAGCCAGCTCCCATCACCATGGAGCCGGCTCTCTCTCTCTCACAGAGAGCCGCGGGCAAAGAAAATTAGGGAGTCGGCTCCATCCCCTTGGGAGCCGGCTCTATCCCTGCTTCCTATCATCGTCTTTGCCTCCAATGATGTTAAAATCCCTCTGTAACTCATTAGTTAAAGTTCCTAGATGTCCGACTCTGTCCCAAATCATCCAAAAAAACATATGAACCCAGTACGCATCATTAATAAAAATCTAAACATAATATGAAACAATTTGTTCAATAAATCATTTTCAATTAATCAATACAGTTTAAAGTCTGAATTAATATGCATACAATGTCTGTTTTAAAGTCCAATTAAGTCTTGGAGACTATATAGGCATGCACAGAACACAGGTCTAAGGGAAGGAGTTAGAATATGAACTTGCCTTTGAGATTTCTGGTTCAAAATCTCAAACTCCTTATTTGCTAATTAATTCGACGAACTTGGATGCTTTTACAGACCACTATTGCTCCTGGTTCAACCCACGAGCAAGCTTCAATCACCTTCCTCCTTGGTTCAACCATTATCTTAGCCAAACCCTAATCCTCCCTCTCTTTGTTTTCTCTCGAACCTCTCTCTATGTAAATGGAGTCTAAACCCTAAGCAGACACATAATGCTATATATATAGGCTTCTATGAAAACCTAATTTTAATTCCAAACCAACTATAAATTGGCTAAATCCCACAACGTGATTACCTAAAAGAATATAAAACCCTATACCTACAACTATACATATAAAAATTAATGACACGAATTTAAAACATTTAATCATAACAAACAATTATTTAAATTTTCACAAAAGCATATAATAATAAAAACAAATAACTCAATTAATAATTAAAAATTAAACAAATAATTCAATTAACTAATTAAACAAGTAAACAAATAAGCAAATAATTCAATTAATCAAATAAAAATGTAATAAAATAATTAATTAAAATACTGAGACTATCCTTTTAAAATTAGGGGTATTACAGAAATCGACGGTGATGAAAGGACAGCGGAGTAGCACGGTTGAGTTCGACGACGTGGGTGTAGAGTAAAAAGATTTTGTCGTAACACATCATTTGCCCACTGCCATGACGTTTTCGACGGCGGAAAGAAGAGGCTTTGGTGGCGGCGGTGGTGGTGATGATCACTCACCTTCCTCACACGGATTGCAAATTTCTTATCCCTGATGTGAATAGATGTTGAGGAGAGATGAGAGACATGTGATAGGGAAATAATTTATAGGTGATTTTGTCATTATACTTGGTATTTTTTTTAATATATATTTTATATAATAAGAGTATTTTAGTTATTTAATAAGGATTTCACTTAAATCTAACTCCTCCGGTCATATTAGAGAAAATTTTTATAATTTTTAAAATATTAGAAATATTATTTGTAATTATGTCTGACCTTAACCTTATAGGAAGTAAGTGATTTCCCATATTTTATTTTATGTTTTATTTTTTTATTATTGTCAAAGATGCATATTCATAGTCAACAAATTTAAACTGATAAGACTTCACAAAATTATAGAAGTCCGTACCACTTCATCTATGCTTGGGACAAACTTAAGAGAATATATACAGAGATGCTACTCCAGTATGGCCTATAGAGAAAGGAATCACAGACCAAACAGTAACTCTATTTCCATCCTTTGGCTGTTTACTTTTAAAAAAAACTTGAAAAGCTGAGTTGTCGAGTCAAGTGCTTCGTTAGCATCAACCAGCTTTAAATGCTTCATTAGTATCAACCAGCTTTAAATGCTTTATTACTGTCAACCAGCTTTATATAAAGGGAAAATTACATATAAATGGAGTTAAAGTTTCATATTTACTTAGAGACTGAGTCAAAGTTCCATATTTTTCTAAAATGGATTGATGAGGTGGCACATGGTTTTTTACTGTTTAAAAAATTGTGGTGCCTAAAATGCCCTTCCCTAACAAAAAAGTAGTACCTTCAGTTCAAAAAAGTAGTACCTTCGAAGAAAAAGTAGTACCTTTGCGGGTGTTTAAAAAACATAGTACCTGGACACCAAAAAGTAGTACCTTCAGTTCAAAAAAGTAGTACATTCGAAGAAAAAGTAGTACCTTCGCGGAAGGGTAGTTTAGGCATCACAATTTCTAAACAGTAAAAAACCATGTGCCACCTCAGCAATCCATTTTAGAGAAATATGGAACTTTGACTCAGCCTCTAAGTAAATATGGAACTTCGACTCAGCCTCTAAGTAAATATGGAACTTCGACTCCATTTATATGTAATTTTCCCTTATATAAAAGCTGTTCGCGTGACCTTTGACCACTTTAATTCTTTAAAAACCGGTACAAAAAAATCGGTTCATTACTTTTTTACTTTTTTTATTTCTTTTGTTTGTTTGTTTATAAGGCTGTTCGCGTGACCTTTGACCACTTTAATTCTTTAAAAACCGGTACAAAAAAATCGGTACAAAAAATTGATTATATACATAGCGTGTGTTTTTTTTCCTTCTCTTTCTCTTAAACGCAAATCTATTAACCTCTCTATATAAGCCCGCACACTCTCACCTCTCACCCCTCCTTTACACGAATTTATCTCTCTAATGTCCAAACCCATGTCCAAACATCTCTTTCTTTCTCATCTGCGAAACACTAATAATACATCCTTCGCTCACCATTTTCATTTCTTCCTACCTTCCATATAAGGAGGGAGTTAGGCTCATCTTTGTTCGATTTTGAGCAGATTAATTGGTTTTAGCCTTAGGTTATGCCTCCTCATTCCTCAGGTAATTAACTTTTAATTTTTAATACACTAATTTTTCTATTATATATATATATATATATATATATATATATATATATATATATATATATGCCCTTTTTGTCTTCCTTCTTTTTTTTTTTTTTTTTTGACTCATCTTAAGCAGGCTCTGGCTCCTAATATTTTAGCTGCTCAAAATACTAACTTATTATGTTGAAGATTTCAAGTTAAAAAATGTATACAATTTCAGTATAAAATATATTTCAATTTTTCCATCTCTAATCTTGCTATTATATATAGGTGGTGTTGTTGAAGAAGAAAGCTCACTGAAACGAGTGGAATCGAAAAAGAAGTTGGTATAGACATCTCTTTAACTTATTCTTCAAAAAATTATTGTATTTTATTTATTTTTAAAGTTAGATTTTACTACTTTTTACTAATTGCCTCTTCCATACATTCTTGAACATTTATTATTCAATTTGTTTTTCAAATTTTTAATAAAAAATGAGAAGACATACAATTTGCTAAGCTTAATCAAATCATTTTTTTTTTTTTTTTTTTTGACAAATCATAGTTTGCCCTGAAATGTCTGAAAAACTTTTCTGTATCACAGTTAAAAATGAGTCTCAACTATGAAATTGTCCTCCTCTTGTGTCTGGTCCCTTCAACAAATTAGAAATTATTTCAACATTATTTAAAATGTCTGTTTTTGTTACACTTTACAAAAATACATTTCAGGGATTGATTGGCCTTACGGCGATATTTTTTTGTTCATTATTATTATTATTTTTCTTCATTTGAGCAAGTTTAAAAAAATTAGATTATGGATTGGGTAAGTCAGTACAACAATATCATTTTAATAACTAAAACTACTTATTTTAGCCGAAAGTGTTGGAAATAATGATTTTTTGGCATAGTAAAATAGTATAAATATGAATTAATCCTGTTTGTGTTCAACCTCCTCAGTTGCAATTGCTTCCCTCTCCTGAAAACATACGCTTTTAACCGAACAGTCCCTAACACTTCTTTCTCTCTCTCTCAAACCAGTTGCATCTCTCTCACGTTAACCATGTTTTCTCTCACCCTTTCTTTCTCTACCCAAACTCTCATTCTCTCTTCTGAATCAGCCGTGAAATACTCATCTTCTCTGTCTAAACCCATTTTGGTTTTCTCTCTCTAACCGTGTTTTCTCCCTTTACCTCACCTTCGCTTTCTTTGATCACTAAAACCTCACCCATAAACATTCACAAATCTCATCTTCTCTCTCTAACCCACGTTGTTTTCCCAATTTATTGTTATTATTATTATTATTTAAAAAATTCACTAAGATATTTGTTTTTTAAATAATTAATGACACTGGGATGTTGAAGAAATAGGTCAACATTACATAGTTTGCAAATATTGGGGCAGTTGTGTCTTATCTCATCTCATATTCATTTGAGCCGTTATCTTTTATTACCAACATATTTAGACAGACTATATTTTTGTAATTCCTAATGATTGGCCACTTTACCCTCCCAAAGCTGACGCAGCCTCTCATCTTTTTCTTTGATCTCTTGCAGCAGAAAATTTATTGCTGTAAATTTTGCATTTTATCGTAAGTCCCCTAGAGAGGATAGGACAAAACAGTCAATGTTATCCGGAACAACTTGTATTTTTTAAAATTAAGCTAACTGTATTCTTATTTGAAGTACATATGAATAAGTTTGAACTCATTAACAATATGTATTTCTATTCGATGTAGTTCAGATATGAGAAGTTTGAGTTCATTAACAATATGTATTTCTACATTTGATGTAGTTAAGATATGAGCAAGTTTGAGTTCACTAACAATTTGTATTTAGTTCTGAGCTCCTTAACTGTATGAATTTTTACATGTATATTTTTCTCTCTTCCCCTTCTATTACTTCATCTTCTCCATCATATTCTTTATGTGGCAAATAGGCCATGGATTAACAATTTCCAAATAGGACAAAACTACTCATCTTTATAGGTTAAATAGGGCCGAAACAAGTGGGCCAAAAAAATCACGTTCTATGGTGCATGCCAAAGGCGCAAATCTTGTGAAGTTATTTTCCATGCGGCCCCATGGTGCGTTGATGAAAGGCCTTGGTTTGGTCACGTCTAATTCTATTCATAATATGTGAGTGGGTTCTACTATAATGATACAAAACGGATTTTTTCGGTAACATTCTCCTTCTGTTACCTTATATTGTAAATTATTACATAAAAAGAAAAAACAAATAAGAAATAAAAACTAAAAAGAAAAAACAAATAAAAAATAAAAACTAACCCTAAACAAAACAAAACAAAAAGTTAGCCCTAAACAAAACAAAACATGAACCTTAAAGAAAAGAAAACGGAAAAGAGGAGGAGCTCCCATCTAAAGAGTTTGTTGGTCGCGGTCTTCGCTGACTAAGGTTTGCTGCGCCATCAAATTTCGGCGCCGTGGTTTTGGGTTCTTTTCTGGCCACGATTTGAGGATCACCGTTTTGCTTCGCCTTTTGGGTTTCGTTGGTAGCTATCTTTGGCTGAGGTGGGTGCGATTTGCAGTGCTGGTGTTGTCGAATTTGGTAGGTTGTAGGTTATTGGATATGAGTTGATATTGATTGCACTTGATTGTACCGTGGGTGGTGTGGCCAAATTGGGTGTTTGAGGTATGAAAAATAGCAGCAGCGCCGTTTAATTCCAATACTCCATCATCGTTGTTTTATTTTTCTGGCGTGGCAATAGCAGTCATCTCACCGGTGGGTTGCTGCACTGTTTCGTGGTACAATGAGAGTGTTGCTTGTGCTTCGGCAATAGCAGTCTTCTCACCTTCAATCAATTAGGCATTTCTAGGTTTCGAACAGAGAAAGAAAAGCATAAATAGTGGGAAGAAGGTTCAATTTTGCAACTAGATTTTCTCAGAAGAATGACAAAACCATAACAGGTGAGTCCTTTCTACCATTGTCTATGTTTAATTTTAGACTAGAGATGTAAGGGAGTACCCAAAGGCTTTGCCAATTGTGCTGCACGTGTAGGCACACATGCATTACAATTGAGATGATATAACTGGTCATTTCGGATTCTAACTTTGTGCAAGAATCCAAACTTTCTTTCAATTTCCACATTTTCTTCGTAACTAACCCTAACTTCAAAATATAACTGAAACCACACCAATTCCAAATACTAATAGAAATAGAAATACTGATAAAATTTCATAAACCCCAACTTCAAAGACTCCTTTTTTCCTCATGCACTGTATAAGATAGTTCTAAACAATACTATATATGCTTAAGTCACTTTGTTTTGTTGTCCCATGTCGAATAACTAATGTCACACATAAATTTAACTAAATTCAGCATAATCCTACAAAAACAGGTATTCATATAGTGCCAACTAACTAATGTCAAACATAAATTTAACTCTATTCAACATATTATTTGAAATTAATTTTTGCATTAAAATTTTAAGATCCTGTAAAATTTAAGATCATGCAATTCCGAGGTAGTATGAAATATGATGATGGATGTAATAAACTTGGCATCAAGCTTGTAAGTATATTTAAAGTCTTATTATCATCTCTGTTTTATAAGTTCACTTCTCATTATGAACTTATAAACTAGGAATATCAAATGGGAAAGAAAAGCATGTGGTGGGAAAGAAAAGCATGTGGCCAAGCGCGATGAAAAAAAGAAAAAACATGCTGCCAAAACCAAATGAGATGAACCAAATAAATTTTTTTTACCCAAATGCGGTCTAAAAAAGAAGACTGATGTGTCCAAACACAAGGGAAAAAGAATTGTTTTGGATAATGGAAGTAATTCTGATGATGCCTTATACTCTCCTTCGGCTACTTCTCTTTCTGAATCATCAAGTAGTACCGATGAGGTTCAAGGTGGAACATTTTGAAGCATAGACAAGTTATTGGTGGATCGAAGCATAGTGAGAGTTTGATAAACAATATAGGAATTTCGAAATCGAAGCGAAAGGAAGGAACTGGAAGGCATCATGGACCGTACTTCTTCAAATTTTGGTATATATTCAAAACCCTTAATGACAATGGGATCAAATTATTATAAATATAATGAATTTTGTTATTATTTTATATATATTTTTTTTCTTAATGATAAATTATGTTATTCATATATATTTTTTCTTTTCTTAATGATAAATTATGTTATTGACAATGTGATCAAATTATATAAGTTTTAGGACATATCCCAATACTTTAAAAATATAAGATAAGTTGTTTAAAAAAGTACTTGCAAAATTGTTTGTGCTGGACTTATTTTGTGGAGTGTGATGTTTTACTAATTTTGATTTATTTATTTATTTATATTATTTTTTAAAGTGATATAGTGCACCAATGTTCTTACCTTAGTTATATATATGTTGCTGTCTGGAAAGCAAGTGGCAATGTAATTAAAGAATAAAGTTTAGAAAATTTTAAATATATTAAATTTTGTAATAATTCATTGTGTTTATAATTTCAGGAAATACTATCAAGATAATTGCAAAACAGAAAACCCTTATAAGGATTGGGAAAGCCTTGATTATAAACAAATCAGTAAAGATGCTGGAAAGCTTTGGAATAAAACGAGTGAGAGTGAAAAACAGCCTTTCAATGATGAGTGGGAAAAAGAACAAGCGGAAAGCAAAAAAATGCACCAAAACAAGCCCCTAAGTAGAAGGTATTATGACTTTTTCCCTTCCCTCCTATTATTGTTTTATTATTTGAGGCACACTCCCTTATTTATATTATTTTTGTTTTGTGATTTATCATTTAATTGAACTTTCATCCGCAAGAAAATCGGAATCATTAGCAAAGATGCTCGATCGATCAATTGGTCAAATGTGTATCCCAACTTAGTGTTGAGAAGATGAAAGCGATTGAGGAAATTGGCTTTGGGCAGTTGCTGAACTTAAAATGCTCGCGTATGAATCGTAACCTTTTTCGTTAGTATTTAGTAACTTCGACTGCCACACCGGTCTTCTTGGAGTTGGCTATAATGAGTATATCTCTATATCGACACATGATTTCAATTTTATCTTTGGCTTGCCTTGTGAAGAGACGGATGTGCCTGAAGGTTCTGATGTTGAAGCCGAATGAATAGATAAATGTGGATATCGTGATCCAAGAGGGATGCACCGAAGTGCTTTGCAAAAAAAGGTTACACAACTCGATGTTAGAGACGATTTTAAGCGAGCATTTGTTCTTTTTGCATGTACAACAGTCCTTACGCCAAACGGTCACAATAATGCCCACCTAAGGGGGTTTGAATTTGTGAACAATGTTGATTCAATTAAGACTTTCAACTGGTGTGGTTATATTTATAAACATTTTGTTGAACCCATGAAAAAGCCAGTGGATTAGGGAAAAGAAAAACAGAGTTGGGCAGGCTGTTTAATTTTTCTGTAGGTATAAATTTATTATTATTATTATTATTATTATTGAATGTGTTACTTTTTAAAAAACATAGTGTGTTGGACAAAAAAAAGCCTTGCCCTAAACCTCTAGTCCAACTTAAGAAACCTTTGGGAATCCCATTTACTGTACTTTTTAAACATTGTATTAATTTATGTATGTTACAGTTTTTTTATGTTAAGTATTTGATGACATTGAATCCAGTTACTGTATATCATCCGAGTTGATGTTAAATGGCCTAGCAAAGGGGATGTCTAATCTGTTAGTTTTTGGACAGATGAGAATGCAAAGAAATGCCTTCAATGGGAGGAAAAAATGGGAGGCTTTGGACATGGTCAGGTAATGTTTTATTTTTTATTTTTTCTTCCTAAATACTTGTAGTTTTTAATTAATTAAAGTAAACACCCCCATACTTGTATTCATTTATATAACCGAGTTTAAAACACTACTGATAGGCTCGTCCCATAACGACATGTACAACTGGTCATGAAGTCCCTATTACCGATTATTATTCGTCACCCTCACATTCTATATCTCGTATGTCATTTCCATCTGCCGATACAAGTTCGGATTTAGAATACGAGATAAATATACATTTCATTATGTTGTTGTTGTTGTTGTTATTATTTTCTTTTTAAATTTTTTTTTTTTAAAGTTTACATTACATTATGTTTATTTCGTATATATTTTTTTATTGTTAAACCCCAACTTCTTACCTATTATCTGATGTCTGCAGCGTTGTTTTCAATAATTGAAGATGCACTTGCAGAAAAATTAAATAGCCTACCCAACTCTATCTTTCTTATCCCTCGTCCACTGGCTTTTTCAGGAGTTCAACCAAATGTTTATAAATATAACCAAAGCAATTGTAAGTCTTAACTGAATCAACATTGTTCACAGATTCAAATTCCCTTAGGTGTGGGCATTACTTAGACTATTTGATTTAAGGACCGTTGCACATGCAAATAGAACAAATGTTCGCTTAAAATCATCTCCAACCTCGAGTTGTGTAACCTTGTTTTGCAAAGCACTTAGGTGCATCCCTTCCGGATTATGATCTCCACATTTATCTATCTATTCCGCTTCAACACCTTTACCTTTCGGCACGTCCGTCTCCCCACAAGGCAAGCCAAAGATAAAATTGACATCATGTGCCGATATAGAGATATATTCATTATGGCTAATTCTGAAAAAGGTCGGCGTGGCAGTCGAAGTTACTAAATATACAATGAAAAAGGTTACGATCGATACGCGAGCATTTCAAGTTCAGCAACTGCCCAAAGCCAATTTCCTTAATCACTTTTATCCTCTCAGCACCAGGTTGGAATAAACATTTGACAAATTGATCAATCGAACATCTATGCTAATGATTCTGATTTTTTTACGGAAAAAAGTGTTGGGATTTATATGCCTTGACATAACAAATTCTTATTTGGATTAAAGTGATATATGTTCCTGATATATCTGAAATATTTCTGATTTATACAATTGGTGAATTCAATGTATTTTGTTTCGATTCATTTGGAATTGATAGTGTCCACTTGATTACAAGAGATATTTATATATGTATGTGATGACGATCAATACATGAGCATAAATATTGCGAGAGCGGTCGTATGCAATTGTTTCCTATTACTGTAATGGCATTTGACTTTTAAGTATGAGAGAAGTATAGACTTTTTTATTAATTAATAATTACTTTGATTTGTACGGTGGAATCTTCGGAATTCATAGACCGGCATTTTGGGTAATTATGTAATTAATAGTTAAGGGTTATATTTTCAATATTTGTATCATTGCTACTTGTATTGATTTTGTATTGATTATGGCTAATCACAAAATAAATTCGAAAGCCTTCGTGTGTTTTTAGACAAAATGATTTATTATATATTTATTTATTTAAATTATTATTTTTGTCAAACAAATGTTTTATTGTGATCAAGTCAGAAATAATCAAATGTTTTATTGTGATCAAGTCAGACATAATCAAAGGTATCAAAATAAATATATTAATTAAGTAGTCGGATTGATGGTTTTATTTATCCGATAACTAATTATGCATAGATGGGTCAAAGTGAAAGATTGACTTAGAGGTTATTTATTATTTAATTAGAGTTTAATTAATTTTTTTTAGTGGAGTAGAAATTAATTTATGAATTAATTGAATTGGGTCCATGGATCGGGCTAATTATTAATTCATTGTACCCAGGTAAATAATAAACCCATGGATTCTCACTCATAGCCTAACTTGATATTGAAATCTTATTACATTTGAGATATGTGAATTAGAGATTGAGAATGATTTATTATTTCCTTTCCTTATCTTTATGTTGCCTATATATATACATAGTCGATGTATATTTTAGTGTGACGACCCTAAATTTTTCAACTCAGTGTGTTTTGTGATGACCCGAAACGGATCCAAGGATGTGGAAGCAAAACAAAGACAAGTCCTTAGAGATGTATGTCATCCCTAAGATACAAGAATGGCCTTTCGAGGAGTTTCGAGGTTCAATGGAAGCAAAACAAAAACAAGAATATCAAAACCCTACCAAAAGAAGGACCAATGGTAAAATGATCATTTTACCTCAAGAGGAAGGAATTTAACCTCCAACAAGTCAAATAAAGTCAAAAACATCATTTAGTAACTTCACATGAAATCCCAAGGCCAAAGGAAGAGAAAACCCAAATGAACCCTATCCCGGTTCGAACCAAATCTGACACCCTCTCACTAAAACAAGGATATCTCAAGGTAGGAGAAGAATCTGAAGCTAAAATTGGTACCATTGGAAAGCTTATTTCGACTCGGTCTGTTTAGACTCAAGAACGGACTAATTCGGAGTTAAAACGAAGAAGTTACAATAGTTTGAAGTTGGAAGGCAAAATTGAACCTACAAATAGGTTCTGGAAGACTTGAACCGGTTCAGCCCCCCAGGGGCACATAGTCATCTCTAAAAACTATATATTCGGGTGCCACCGAGCACACCGCTGGAAGGACAATGAAAAACTAATCAAGATGGACTCAAGAATCGCATGATTCGGAGTCCGGACGAAGGAGAAACGGCATGACGATGAAAAATGGACACTTAAAACTTTAAGGGAAAACTGGTAATTATCCAGAAATATCCGGGTGTAACCGAGCATACTGTTGGATAGACGACGAAAAATTAATCAAGTTAAAAAAAAAAATTCACTTGAATCGGAGTCCGAACGAAGGAGAAAAGCCCAAAAGAAGAATTGACGTCGCGGCGGCCCGGCGAGGGGCCATGACAGCCCCATGCGCAAGCCCATGCGCGCGTGCTAGGTGCACCATGGCTGGCAGCAACAGCCATAAAGCTGCTGTGGGGTTATTTTTCAGAAAAATCCAGAACAGAGGCTGAATTTGGAGGCCTAAATGAATTTTTTTTGCAAAAACACAAAGAAGAAACCTCCCTCAAAATTGAGTTTTCTACGTGACTCACGAGAGAATTAAAAAAAAACTCAATATAAAATGCCCTCCCAAGAAATCTGGTCCAGAGGGTCGAAAAAGCTGCTAAATAGAAAACTGAAAGCTGAACTTCGTAAGTGATTTCCGATGCCAAGACGACATTTTCTGGAAAAACACGGAAAATAAACCACCCCTAAAATCATGTTTTCTATTCAATCATGTTGAAAGAAGAAAATAAAACCACCATGGAAAGTCTACAATGCCCCTAAATCAGAATATGCAAAAAAAAGCAAAATGAATTCACAAGAGGCTCAAAACACAAACAATAAGGTTTTACCCGGAAACGACCATGCACGCAAATGTAACTTACCTATTTGGACGTGCTATAATGGTCCACGACTAAAAAATACCGCCGATACAAAATCCGACCCCCCAACGGGCAAAAAGGCAAAAAGGCAAAAATGGAACTTGGAATGAAAACTCGGAATCCAAAAATACAAAATGGGATCAAATGATCGTTTGGCCTTTGGCCACACTTCAAACATGATTTATAAGACCCTATGAAAGAATGTAAACGGAATTCCCACACCCGATGCAACCATAGTGAAGCAATGAGTTGTGATTTTTCAAGATTTTCACAATATTTTATGAAGTTAAAAAGTACATAGAATACAATATACATGTCATTGGCCTCCGGCCTCATCTCATACATATCAAATACATTTAAAGGAGTGTACTTAAGTACACATTACATACATGGAATCAAATATACGTATTTTGACATATAAGTCTACAAAATGACATTTCATGCTAACATTTGCATGAAATGGAAACTTGAAAGCTACACGACATTCAAGGAATGCTAGGCATCACGAACCAAGTCTGAAATATGCCCCAGTATTGTAGGGGTGAGTAACATAAAGCTACTCGTAGGAGATGAGCATGCATCGACCTAGCATTTTACAAATTTATCACCTTAAGGTGAAACATGTTAAAGGGGCTCATGCCACCTAACGTCTATGTCCAAGTGAGACTCGGGGAGCATCCTAAGCTACCTTAGAGTCTAAGCAACAAGAATCATGATATACATACGTGTATGAAACGAATCATGGTTGGGATAATCCAAAGAACACGACAAGAAGAATGCTTAAGCATAGATTAACATGAATTGCATTTTCAATACAATTGAACTAGGTCTAGAGTAATCCATACAACATGACAAAAGCATATTTGAATACAAGTTAACAAGAATCACATTATCCATGCAATTCAACAACAAAAGAGCATGTTATACAATGCAACAAGGTTTAAGTTCTCAAAGCCATCAACTTAGAATCTAAAGTACAAAATAACAGTAGTGGTTCATACCACCTAACGTTTATGTTATAAATGAATCAATAGGATCAATCCTAAGCTTTATTAAAACGTTAAAACACGATTTTCAATATCGATGCAATTTAACCAACATTGGAACTTCCAATACAACGCATAAAGCACAATTTCGCAAAGTTAACATCCTGTAACTTAAAATGGAATGACAAATAAGAAATAACAAGTTATAACATCATCTAGTTATCAACTTGAAAATGAAATGCGAAATCAAACAAAGTGGATACTCGGACGTCACGCCGGATCAGACCGACAACATAGTTACTTTAGGATTACTAGCTCATGGGTAACCTCCCTATATGCGCACTAGACTATATATAGAGGGACTATCCCCCGTACTAGAACCACGTCCTAGCCATACTCAAACAAAGACATCCCCAAGTTTCCAAAATCAACAAGTTGTGTAACAACACATATATCAACAGGAATATGCAAGATAATCAACTATCTACTAAGCAGAACCAAATTTGGAAACCTATACAATACATACTCTAAATCCACAACTAATATGATATGATGAATGTCGAATCTTCAGTGTGCGATTCGTTACACGCTATGCATGAAAAATGTTAAACACGAAGTGTGCAAATCATTACACAAGGCAACAATATATTCAATAAGGAAAATATATTCTCATGAATACAAATATAGCAACTATGTTATTCAATGTTCAAAACATAACCAAATGAATATACAACAAGTCTAAGTCCATGATTTGAATATAGAAATCACTTCTAAAACACAATTAGATCATGGAGCAAATTGATAGAATTTAAATAGATAAACACAATTAAATTCTATAGATTCTGATTCAATTCCAATTAACCTCAATTTAACACATGTTAAAGGATAGGGCAAGGTCATCACCTATATCCATTCTAAAACTCGATTAGGTTGTTAGAACAACAAAGTAGAACTTTAATTAAATCATGCTAATTTAAATCCCAAGGTTCTAAAACAAATTCAAATAGTCCCAAGTTAATATATACTAGTAAACAAATCATGGCCAATACAAACATCAAGTTAAAACCTTAATTAAGCTAATGGGACCACAAAATAGATTTTAATTAATTCTTATAATTAAAATCTCTAGATTTTTAAACTTAACCAAATGCTCTCAATTTAACATATCTTAGAGAACATGCCAAGAACTAATGTAATATCACATTACAAGCTTATTTTATGCAAGTTACACCAATGTAAATTAAACTTTCACTAAAGTTAAATATAAAATAAAGGTTGCAATTCTCATACAATTAATCCCAATTTAATATATGTGAATAACCACACCAAAACTTAATTTTCTAGCATGCCACAATTCAATTCCAAGTTGTATATCACCATGAGGATTAAATCTTAAACAAGGAA